GGATTTGGAGTTACAGCCTTCGCCGGGGTGAGGAAGAGCTTTGTCGCGCGCACGTCAGCTTTGAATTGGCATGTCGATTCTGTAATTCTTCACCAGGCGACAGAGAATCCTTCGCCGCGGCGAAGGCCGCCACTAAGTTGTTGTTAGTTTTCTCTAGAGATTCTTTCTTAAAGGCAAAATGACCATCTACACCCATTAGCAAAAAAGTGGGGAGTAAAACAAAGAAATTCATGGAGAATAGGTTAGTGTGGGGTGTGAGTGTAATAAATTAAAGGATAAAGGTGAATTTTCAAGTAAGAGTAAGGGCAAAATGGGAAAGAGTAATATTATATGACTAATAGAGTTTAGTTCTCTAAAACCCCTTCATTTCACCCATTTCACCGCCTCTTCATCCATCATTTTCTCTCAATTCCTCTCTCAATCTTCAAGGGATTTTTGAGAGTTTTGAGTTGGGATTTGACAAAGAATTGATCCAAGCAAGAAGAGGTAAGAATTCCTACTCTAGATATGAGTTTTATTTATTAAGGGTTAAGTTCTTACTAAGTTATGCTTAGGAAATAAGAAAAAGCTAAGGTCCAACAAGAGTAGAGAGCTTTAATGGAGACTACTCAATATGAGTAAGTAAATCCAACTCAAGCAAAGTTTAAGAAATTCTTAAGCAAGATTTCTTATGCATGTATAAATGATGCTTTTTGAGAAATTGAGTATAGATATGTGTTTGTTTGTTGAAAATTGAGCTGAGAAGAGTATTCTGTTAGTTGTTGGATATATTTTCTTTATGGGAAGTGTTGATGTGGTGAGTTTGAGATGAAGTTGGAGGAGATTGAGTAGATATTTTGGGAGTGTTCTTCTATGATAGGAACCATGTACATAAAAGAGAGTTTCCTCCCATTTTGGATGGTTAAAAAAGAGATAGAGTTGTAGTTAGAGAAGAGTTGGTATGCACATGAATTGTTTGATGAAATGCCTAATTGAAAACATGTTACCAAACTGGCCCTTTCACAGCCGTGACTTCTAAGTGATTTTGGGCATCTTAAAGTTGAACTGGGTTTAGACCAAAACATAAAAGTCATAGCCCTGTCTCTAGCTTTAAAACAGGATAAGAATCGTAGCAATCCGAATGTATAACTCAATTTATGCCTTCTTGATTGTAACCTACACAGAATGACTGTCTTGATGCAACATTGATTGTGCTTTTCATAAGTGCATTAATGAGCATCAACCATCATATGCATTAGTTGTGGCATTGAGTAATAGTTTGAGAAAGAGTAGAGAACCTTGTGAATGGACTACTCTAAGAGTTAAGTTATCTATGAGTACTAGCTTGAAGAGATGAGTATTAGCTCGAGCAAGAGTAAGATCTTTGTGAATCTAAGAGGAAAAGAAGAGAATGAGTAGGTGTGCGATGGGGAACCCGTGAGTGATGAGTAAAGTCACGAGAGTGGGTGCTTTTTGATCCTCAGCCGTGCCTCCGGTTAGATGGGGTTGTGACCATCACGAAGAGTGGAACATGATGTTCTAGCCGTACCTCGGGTAAGATGGGGTCGTGACATTCAAAGAGAGAAGAGAGAATACACTCACGTGGGCCAAGGGTTCCGAATCCATGCATGACCGAGTCCGATCGACAGAGAATGAGTAGAAGTCACGAAGATGTGGTTGGTGCTTTGTGATCTCCACCCAACCATGCCTCCAGTAAGATGAGGCCGTGACATGCAAGTGAGGAAGAATGAGCAAACATGAGAAAAAATAAAGAGAGACAATTAGTAGGGTTACGAATAGTGGGATGAGTACCCAACCGTGCCATCGGTAGATGAACCGTGACCTACAACAGAAAGTAACAAAAAAGTTATTAGAAAGAGAGACAAAAGAGAGACAAAAGAGAGCAATAGAAGTCACGTAGACGGGAGAAAGTCCCGCCGTGCTTCGGTAAGATGGGCCGTGCCAATTCAAGAGCGTTTAGTAGAAAATGAATTCTGAAAAATGAGAATGAGGTAATAGAGAGATTAAAGAATGAGAAAGCTTGAGAAGCTTGAGAAAGATAATAAGAGTTTGAGTTAGTAAGAATAGAGAGTAGAATAAAGGAACATGCAGCTCTTTTGCATTAATTGCATGTACATCTCATACATGCATGCACCATGATTTCTTCCATGGTTATAAGAGTTGATGAAATAAGAGAGAACCATGATTTTTTCTTCATGGTGAATATGACAGAAATAGAGAAGACACCATGATTTTCCTTCACAGTGAGTAAGAATAAGAGAAAAAGAACAGAGAGAAAAAGAATAAAAAAGTAGAACAGAGTTTAAAGAGAAATAAGTATTAGAAATAAAGAGAAAAACAGTGAGAATTAAGTAAATAGAAGAACAATAAAGTAGGAAAGAACCAAAAGATGAGTTGCGGACAGGTAATGAGGATTTACTTCTAGTATGTTTGCTCAACCGCGTGGTTCTTCCCTGTTTTGCAGGAAAATCGGACAGCGTCGGATGGACGTCGAGGAGCAGAGAGTATCGACACCACTGTCCACCAACTATGATATTTTGTATTAATTAGAAAGTTTTTTAATACATAGTCTTTTGTATTTGTAAAGAATTATATTTATGAGTAAAAAAAAAATTCAGCCCACTTCTTCATACACCTATTTAATCTATAATTTTACATAGTATGTATTATAAGAATGTAGTAGAGAGCAGGTATACACTTGTAGAACTAGTTGTTCTCATAATAAGATTTGTGAGTGAACATGAAACTGTAATACTAATTATGGAAATTAGGTGCATTAATTCATGTAAGATTAGAAATCTGTGGATGATTAGTATGGACTTAAGTTTCTTGGAATGATCAATGCAACTGGGCTAGAGCCTATGTTAGCTTAACTTGTAAAAAAACCCCTACTCGTGAAGTGATCCAAAGTGTAGGTTGACCCAATTCGTAGGGTGACCTTGATCATAGACTGATCCAACTCATGAGTAACCTAGCTTGTGAAGAGGGTTGACTCGTGGTATGGACTAACTCATAGAATGGGTCGGCCCATAGAATGGATGTTCTTACACAATGAGTCATCTCGCTAGATGGTCTTTCCACAAGTTGGATTTAAGTGTGGGTCCAATTAAAATTGGGCTAGACACTGAGCCATTTGGAGTGATTATGTTGTTACTGGATCTGACAAGGTTCAGTATGATTTTTGCCCCATACATACATAATTTATGGGCTGATCTTAAAGTTTCAACACAATTTTGACAACATGATTCATAGGAAAGTGATCTTTACAGTATAGTCCCTCCCCCTTTAAAGATCTGCAAGTACTGGAACCCATATTGGCGAACCTACTTGTAAATAATCACAAATCCTGAAAGATCCTCCCTGTTTGCAAAGGAAACACCATTCCTCTGCAATATTTTCATCCTTTAACCTCTTTCGTCTTCCCATCTTCTTCAAAAGCTCTGATTTTTACAAGACCAAATGTTTTTACAAGACCAACCCAAGTGCTTGACAACGAAAATCTTCTCCTAAACCTTGCAAAATCAGGGGAAAACAATGAGATCAAATCTTTAAGGCCTTGAACTTTACCATAATCAGTAAAAGAATTGAAAAGCTTTGAACTTTAAGGCACAAGCCAAGAGCTACATGTAAATGTAGTGGAAGTCAACAATGAAAAAGAAAGTAACCTTCAACCTTCAAAATGAAGAAAGTCGGGAGCTTCAATAATGAAGTCTTGATCAACAACGTTGGATACCAAAACTCATTTTGAAGAAACTAAGAACTCAAGTCTACAGTGCAAAAATGAAGCTTTCTGAGAGTGACCACTACAAAGAAGACGCTAAAACAAGAGACTTTATGATCCGGTAACCTTTATATCAGAAACTTGTTTGTTTATAAGAAGAATGTGCTACTCTTCAGCTCAAAAACAAAACTTGATAAGTTTTAAAAAACACTCTCCCATCGAACAATTTGCTTAAACTTAAGAAATGGAGTTTCTGAGATGACCGTTTTGCAGACAAAAAAAGAAACTAAAACGGAGAAGGCTTAAAGAAAAAGGTGAAAAAAGAAAAGGAGAGAGTGGAGTTTTTCGCTACTTCATGCAAAATTTAAAAACAGGACATGCAAAGCAGAAGCTGTTAACAGCCAAAACTGGAAAGGAACAGACAAATTTTGACCCTTTATGTAGCAACCATGTGATTTATTTATCTATTTATATTTTTACCTCAATTATTAGCTGTTGATATTTTTTATTTTTTTTTCCAAATACATGGGGTATTAGGTTGGTCTAAGCTAACTGGCTCATGATTGTTGAAAGGTCTTATATCACTTGTCATTGCAACTCTGAGTAGTTAATTTATTAATAAACTGGAGAAATCCAGTGTAAATTTCTAGTTTTTGAAGAGAATCACAGGTTCTGGATTTTATCAAGATTAAAATGTTTTATCTTTGATAAAAGTCTGTTGATACAGAATTCTGCACCAATTAGAGAATTCTGATTGACCCTGTCGAAACCGGAATGGATGTACGCATGATTTAATAAGCAATGAATAAAAAAGAAAGAGCCATAAATAAGAACAAGACAATTTTTAAAGTGGTTCGACAAGTTAGAATTTGAGTCTACGTCCATTGTTATCTTATTGCTTTTGAGAGCTTACAAAGAACATTAAATTTCTAGGAAAATTTGCTTAGAATAATTGCCCAGCCCCCCCGAAAACAAGCTATCACGGGTTTATATAGTACCCATTTACATGATAGAGTTGAGATAAGATTCAAATACGTAGAATTAGAAAGTTGCATGATCTTCGGCTATCTTAGTTGGAGTCTAAGTCAATCTGAATATCTTCCTTCCAAATTGAGTCAATCTAAATATATTTTCACCTAATAGGAATTATACTCTCCGGATTGACCGCACACAAAGTCTATGTTACTTTTCAATAACCTTCCAGAGATGAAATTTTGCTTAGCTTGATGAACAGTTACACTTTTGAGCAATCTGAGATGCAAAACATTACACATAGGGCTGACACAAAGTACTCCAATACGTTTTGAATTAAAATTTTAAGCAACAGTTACAACAATTCGGCAGGGAAACAAGATGAATCACTACTCCACCCAAGTTGGTCTAGGCCAAAAGATGTTACAATACCCTGGAAAAGCAGAGAAACCTCCAACTGTTCCATCCTTCAAGTCAATAATCCCACCTCTAATGGGACCTTCTTTGAAATAAACACAATCCCCTTTACATCCTGGGAACTCTTTAGCTGAAACAGAGAATGAACCATCATTACCAACAAAAAACACTGAATCCTCCAATCCATCTATCACCTCAACCCACTCACATTTCTCTTCGTCAAGCTTATAAACCTTGAATTCAGCTGGTTCATTTCTCCGTTGCCAGTTCTTCGTAATCATAAACAAATCCTGGGAGGACTTTACTAAGTACATCGCAATCTCAATCGGTGGACCGGCAACTTCAGAAACAGTCAAAGACTTAGAGTCCACAATTACAGTAACACCGCAGATCATCAAAGCAAAGAACTTTTCATTATGATAAATTATATCAAGAGGAAACTCATAATCGATGATTATTGTAGCCCATTTCTTGTCTACATTTCTCCACACCAGCACCAATCCTCCCATTATCGTCATTAAGGCGAACCCATTATCACTCTCATCATAGCAAGAAGACACAACCGCCTTTTCGAAAACAACAGGCTTCTTTCTATTAATACCTTTACCTTGATAAACTTTTTCAAGTCTATAAGATTTAGCTACTTCCTTGACCCGATAATTCCGCAAGTCCAAAGACTGGGGTAACTTTTCAGACTCGGGTACCTTGTTGGACAAGTTTCCAAGACGACGTCTTCAAAGCGGATCCTCTAATCGAACTTTGCCAGAGTGCAATTCCTCGCTTTTGACTAACCATGTATACGTATTTTGGTGTGGATTGGAGATACTAAGAAGGGGTTTGATGGCATAGAAAGTGAACTCGGCAAGCACAAAGTGTCCGCGACGGCCTGCAAGATATGGCATGGGAATTTTAAGGCCCGCATGTGGAGACAGAGGCTTGGGCGGGGGAGGAATTGAGGACCGAAATGAATTACAAACGGCGCGAAAACAAAGCGTATCAATTCGTGTGGGGAGCTGCTCTGCGATGGAGGCGAGAGTGTATTGACCCGGCTTCATTGAAAGCTTAATAAGAGACTGTTTTCACAAAGGACAACTCTTCACCAAGCCACACAAGAATTCAGTGCGTAAACAATTACTAGCAGCTTATGCTTCCAAAATCCTACTTGGAAATAAAACATTAATTATAAATGAAATTAACATTTACAATAATTACATTAATACAATTAAAGACAAATCTTGTAATGCACTTCTTGCTTTGCTTCATCAACTCCGGTGAAAGACCACAGGCTCTCTATACCTACAATAGAGACAACTTGGTTAGTCCGAGGCCCTAAACAATTTTCTGAGCTTGAATAACTTTCAAAGGACATATACGGTAAAAACGCAACCAGATCAATATTTTTTTATATTGAAGTTAAAAGATTTCATAAAGTTCCGGAATAATTGATATTTGAGACAATAGACCACAATTTGCTTAGTTTGATGAATTAATACAGTTTTCAGAGCAATCGGTACCACAAACATTACACATAAAGCTGAGACAAAGGACTCCATACTTTTTGAATTAAAATTTAAGCAATTCGAAGGTGAATCACTACTCCACCCAAGTTGGTCTAGGCCGAAAGATGTTAGAATAGCCTGGAAGCAGAGAGCCTCCAACTGTTCCATCCTTCAAGTCAAAATCCAACCATCGGTTCCGGGTGGCAATCAGAAACTTTAAAGGGATCAGCTTCTTTGAAATAAACACAATTCCCTTTACATCTGGGAACTCTTTAGCAGAAAGAGAGAATGAATCATCATCACCAACAAAAAACACTGAATCGCCCAATCCATCCATCACCTCAACCCACTCACGTTTCTCTTCGTCAAACTATAAACCTTGAATTCAAATTGTTGATTTCGCCGATGCCAGCTCTGCATAATCATAAACAAATCCAGGGAGGACTTTATTAAGTACGGCCAAACCCAAAACGATGAAGCTGCTGTGACCAGCAACTTGAGAACAGTCAAGACTAGGTCACAGTTACAGTAATACCATGGACTCACAGCAAAGAACTTTTCATTATGATAAATTAATCATGAAAATAGCAGATCCATGTCTATCTAGTCCATTCTTGTCTACATTTCTCCAAACCAGCACCATTCCTTTTATTATCGTCATAACGGCGAACCCATCATCATTTCATCATGGCAAGACGCAACCGCCTTTCCGAAAACAACAGCTTCCTCTGTTAATACCTTTACCTTGAAACTTGTTCAAGTCTATAGATTTAGCTACTTCCTTGACCCGATAATTCAACAAGTACAAAGACTGTAACTTTTCACACTCGAGTACCTTGTTGACCAAGTTTCCAAGACGACTTCTAGAAACGGATCCTCTAATCGAACTTTGCCAAGTGCAATTCTCGCTTTTGACAACCATGTAACGTAGTTTGGTGTGATTAAGATACTGGGAAGGGGTTTGATGGCATAAAAGTGAACTCGGCGAGCACCAAATGTCCGCGGCAGCCTGGAACGGAGTGATGGCAGGGAGATTTTAAGGTTAGCGTGTGGAGATAGAGGTTTGGGCGGAAGGAATTGAGGAGCGAGATGATTTACAAACGGCGCGACAACGAAGATTATCGATTCGCGTGGGGAGATGACCTGCGATGGAAGCGAGGGTGGTCTGGAAGACTGGTCCAATCAGGGGTGGTCGTGTCCATTGTAGGCAAACACGTGACTTTCGAGATGGAAGAAGATGGTGAAAAAGAAGTGATGGCGAAGTTACAAGACGAGAAGGGGTAAATTAATAATGGATAATGCAGTTCAATGGTCAAACTTTCACGACAAGCTTATACTTCTCGTGGGAGCCAAGTAAACTCTTAAAATTAATGTTCAATCTTGATTTTAATATCATAGTCAATTAATGAGAGAAAATAATATATAATAACTATGATCTTGCTTGCTATTCAAGCTGGGGCTGCCGGCAGAATGGCCCATTAAAGACCGCCCAAGAACGTCCATTATGTTATGGGTCCGGTAAGAACCAACATAAGAGTAAGACAACATTATCCGATACAAAGAAATTGACACATGCAACCAGAGTGGCTAACAGTAGCAAGAGGTAGGTGATTAAAAGTTAAAAGAAGATGGAAATGAAAATTTAAAGGGCTTAGACAACATCTCTTTCGGAGCATGAAAAATTTGAATGAGTGATAGATTAAGGAGCAAAAGTATCAACGTCGTTATAAAATATGCATATGTAATGTAATGGCAAACTGTGAAAGAGATATGACAACTAGTGTGGAGGTTAAATCTACGGTTGAGTCAAACAAGGATGATCCTGTGAGGATAAGGCCATTGACAATCTTGTAAACTTACAAAAACAAAGAAAAGTGAACGCAAAGGTTTGGAGGACACCGGTGTGATGTCAGTCATAGGCACTCTGAAGGGTTTATTGGAGCATTTGGCTAGGGCATGACTTATCGGTGCTAGAGTAGCCAAAACACGGCTCTATGTACGAAGTAGAGTTAGTTAGAATTAGACTTTATGGTAGGAAAAGGCAATGATTCTTGGAAGCAAGAACTTAGTCAATTAGTGAGGGGTTGTGATGAATGAATAATAAAGGGTTGACCTCTGTTTATATAGTGAGCCAAAAAAGCTTGAATCCTTGTTGTAACGCCCCACTTGAGATACGTAGCCATTGTTTATGGTATGGCCTAAAGGGTTACTGAATTGCTCCTAATGAGTTTGTATATTGTTCATGTTGTTTGGTTGCCCTTGGTTGAGTTTATGTTTTGGGTTTGGTTGAGTGTTTACCCGAATTGATCAAGATTGGCGGATTTGGAGTTACGCCTTCGCCGGGGTGAGAAGAAGCTTTGTCGCGACGACGTCAGCTTTGAATTGGCAATGTCGATTCTGTAATTCTTCACCAGGCGACAGAGAATCCTTCGCCCGGGCGAAGGGCCGACTAAGTTTTGTTTTAGTTTTCTAGAGAATCTCTCTAAAGGCAAAATGACCATTCTACCCTAATTAGCAGAAAAAGTGGGGAGTAAATACAAAGAAATTTCATGGAGAATAGGTTAGTGTGGGTGGTTGATGTAATAAATTAAAGGATAAAGGTGAAATTTTCAAGTAAGGTATAGGGCAAAATGGAAAGAGTATATATTATGAGCTAATTGAGTTTAGTTTCTCAAAACCCCTTCATTTCACCCATTTCACCGCCTCTTCATCCATCATTTTCTCAATTCCTCTCTCAATCTTCCAAGGGATTTTTGAGAGTTTTGAGTTGGGATTTGACAAAGAATTGATCCAAGCAAGAAGAGGTAAGAATTCCTACTCTAGATATAAGTTTATTTATGTAAGGGTTAATTTCTTACTAAGTTTATGCTTAGGAAATAAGAAAAAGCTAAGGTCCAACAAGAGTAGAGAGCTTTAATGGAGACTACTCAAGATAGGGTAATAATCCAACTCAAGCTAAAGTTTAAGAAATCTTAAGAGAGATTTCTTTATGCATGTATAAATGATGCTTTGTGAGAAATTGAGTATAGATATGTGTTTGTTTGGTTAGAATTGAGCTGAAAGAGTATTCATGTTATGTTTGTTGGATAATTTTCTTTATGGGAAGTGTTGATGGGTTGATGAGTTTGAGATAGAAGTTGGAGGAGATTGAGTAGATATTTTGGGAGTGTTCTTCTATGATAGGAACCATGTACATAAAAGAGAGTTTCCTCCCATTTTGGATGGTTAAAAAAGAGAAGTAGTTGTAGTTAGAGAAGAGTTTTTGTATGCACATGAATTGTTTGATGAAATGCCTAAGTGAAAACATGTTACCAAACTGCCCTTCACAGCCGTGACTTTCTAATGTTTTGGGCATCTAAAGTTTGAACTGGGTTTAGACCAAAACATAAAAGTCATAGCCCTGTTCCTAAGCTTTAAAACAGGATAGAATCGTAGCAATCCGATATGTATACTCAGTTATCCTTCTTGATTGTAACCTACACAGAATGACTGTCTTGATGCACATTGTATTGGTGCTTTCATAAGTGCATTAATGAGCATCACCATCATAGGCATTAGTTGTGCATTTGAGTAATAGCTTGAGAAAGAGTAGAGAACCTTGTGAATGGACTACTCTAAGAGTTAAGTTATACTATGAGTACTAGCTTGAGAAAGAGATGAGTATTAGCTCGAGCAAGAGTAGAGATCTTTGTGAATCTAAGAGGAAAAGAAGAGAATAGAGTAGGTTGTGCGATGGGGAACCCGTGAGTGATGGATAAAGTCACGAGAGTGGGTGCTTTTTGATCCTCAGCCGTGCCTCCGGTTAGATGGGGTTGTGACCATCACGAAGAGTGGAACATGAGGTTCTAGCCGTACCTCTGGTAAGATGGGGTCGTACATTCAGAGAGAGAGAGAGAATACACTCACGTGGCAAAGGTTCCGAATCCATGCATGACCGAGTCCGATCGCAGAGAATGAGTAGAAGTCACGAAGAGTGGGTTGGTGCTTTGTGATCTCCACCCAACCATGCCTCCAGTAAGATGAGGCCGGTGACATGCAAGTGAGGAAATGAGCAAACATGAAAAAAAATAAAGAGAGACAATTAGTTAGTTGTACGAATAGTGGGATGAGTACCCAACCGTGCCATCGGTAAGATGAGACCGTACCCAACAGAAAGTTAACAAAAAAGAGTTATGAGAAAGAGAGACAAAAAGAGAGACAAAAGAAATCAATAGAAGTCACGTTAGAGCGGGGAAAGTCCCGCCGTGCTCCGGTAAGATGGGGCCGTGACTTCAAAGAGCGAGTTAGTAGAAATATTTGAGAAATGAGAATGAGGTAATAGAGAGAATTAAAGAATGAGAAAGCTTGAGAAGCTTGAGAAAGAATAGAGAGTTTGAGTTATAGTAATAGAGAGTAGAAGAAAGGAACAATGCAGCTCTTTTGCATTAATTGCATGTACATCTCATACATGCATGCACCATGATTTCTTCCATGGTTAGTAAGAGTTATGATGAGAATAAGAGAACCCATGATTTTTTCTTCATGGTGAATATACGAGAATAAGAGAGAGAACCATGATTTCCTTCACAGTGAGTAAGAATAAGAGAAAAAACAGAAGAAAGAAAGAATAAAAAAGTAGAACAGAGTTAAAGGAGAATAAAGTATTAGAAATAAAGAGAAAAACAGTGAAATAGAAATAGAAGAACAATAAAGTAAGGAAAGAACCAAAGAGTGAGTTGCAGGGACGGTAATAGGATTTACTACTGAGTATTGTTGTGCTCAACCCGTTGTTTCTTCCCTGTTTTGCAGGAAATAGGAGCAGCGTCGGATGGACGTCGAGGACAGAGAGTATCGGCACCACTGTCCACCAACTATGATTTTTGTATTAATTAGAAAGTTTTTAATACATATCTTTTGTATTTGTAAAGAATTATATTTTATGAGTAAAAAAAAATTCAGCCCACTATCTTTCATACACTATTTATATCTATAATTTACATATGTATTATAAGAATAGTAGTAGAGAGCAGGTATTACACTTGTAAACTAGTTGTTCTCATAATAGAGTTTGAGTGAACATGAACTTGTAATACTAATTTTGGAAGATTAGGTGCATTAATTCATGTAGATTAAATCTTGGATGAATTAGTATGCTTAAGTGTCTTGGAATGAATCAGCTAATGGCTAGGGTTTATGTTAGCTTAACTTGTAGAAAACCGACTGTGAAGTGATCCAAAGTGTAGGTTGACCCAATTCGTAGGGTGACCTTGATCATAGACTGATCCAACTCATGAGTAACCTAGCTTGTGAAGGGTTGACTCGTGGTATGGACTAACTCATAGATGGGTCGGCCCATAGAGGATGTTCTACACAATGAGTCATCTCGCTAGTTGGTCTTTCCACAAGTTGGATTTAAGTGTGGGTCCAATTAAAATTGGGCTAGACACGAGCCATTTGGAGTGATTATGTTGTTACTGGATCTGACAAGGTTCGTATATGATTTTTGCCCCATACATACATAATTTATGGGCTGATCTTAAAGTTTCACACACAATTTGACAACATGATTCATAGAAAGTGTCTTTAACAGTATAGTCCCCCCCCCTTTAAAGATCTGCAAGTACTGGAACCTATTGGCGAACCTACTTGTAAGTAATCACAAATCCTGAAAGATCCTCCCTGTTTGCAAGGAAACACCATTCCTCTGCAATATTTTCATTCTTAACCTCTTTCGTCTTCCCCTTCTTCAAAGCTCTGATTTTTACAAGACCACCCAAGTGCTTGACAACGAAAATCTTCTCCTAAACCTTGCAAAATGGGGAAAACAATTAGACAAATCTTTAAGGCCTTGAACTTTACCATAATCATAAAAGATTGAAAACTTTGAACTTTAAGGCAAAGCCAAGAGCTACATGTAAATTTAGTGGAAGTCACAATGACAATTCTGACTTCTAAATTGTATCTTAGTTTCTCAAAATATTCCTCAATTTTGAATAACAAAACTTTCACCGCCTAAAAATTATCTCAACTTACAAAGCATACACAAACAAAAAAACCTTAAATTGTACTATTAACAAAGCCCTATCCTACTACTATCATAAATTAAAATTAAACAAAACTAATCAACACTAATTGCCCTCAAAATGTTCGATAGGGTTATATCCATCATTTTCTAGTGATGAAGGTTCAATTGGGACTTGCTTCGGATGGTTTTAATCCTTTTGGTAATATGTATAATTCGTATAGCATGTGGCCAGTTATTCTTATACCCTATAATCTACAATTGTGGAAATGTATGAAAGAGCCATACTTGATGATGTCTCTTCTTATACTAGGGCCACAATCACCTGGTAGAGAAATTGATGTGTTTTTATGTCCATTAATTGAAGAACTCAAAGAGTTATGGTTGGTTGGTATGTTGACATTTGATTTTTCAACTGACAAGAGTTTTAAATGCATGTTGCTCTCTTATGGATAATTAACGACTTTTTAGCACATGGAAATTTATCAAGTTAGATCACTAAAGGTTATATGGCATGTCCAGTATGTAACAAGGAGACTTCATCTACACGGTTGAGAACTAAGATATGTATAACAGATCATCAACGATTCTTACATTTTGGGCATGCATGGAGACGGAGTCGATTACACAATAATAAACTAGAAACTTGAGCTACACCGAGGGAGTTATCAGGGGTTGATATTCTGAATCAATTAAGAATTGTTGAGATGGTGAAATTGAGAAAGAACCGAAATAATCAAGATAGAAAGCGAAAATGTACACCATCAGAATTGAATTGGACGAAAAAAAATATTTTCTTCGAATTGGAATATTGGTCATCTTTAAAAGTACGACATAATATAGCTGTCATGCATGTGGAGAAAAATATTTGTGATAATGTTGTTGGGACAATTTTGTGCAGTGATGGAAAATCGAAGGATACTGATAGAGCTCGAATGGATTTGCAAGATATGAACATGAGGAAGGAATTGCATTTGGTGAAAATTGGTGATAGATACATTAAACCATGTGCAACATACACTTTGACACTACAAGAAAGAAAAGACTTTTGTAACTTTCTTAAGACGATTAAATTTTCTGATGGTTATGCAACTAACATGTCAAAAAAGGCAAGTGTTAAAGATGGTAAACTTGGATCACTTAAAAGTCACGATTGTCATATTTTACTTCAATGAATTCTTCCCACTAGCATTCATAAATTTTTGCCATGTGACATTTATACTACATTGGTGGAGTTGTCTTGTTTTTTTCAACTCATTTGTGCAACACATTTACAAAGGATGTGTTGCACAAGTTGGAGGAACAAATTGTGTTAATACTTTGTAAATTAGAAAGGAGTTTTCCACCGGCCTTTTTTGATATCATGGTTCATGCTGTTGTTCATTTATCACGTGAGGCAAGACTTGCAGGACCAATTGGATTTTGATGGATGTATCCAATTGAAAAGGCTTTAGGAACTTATAAATCTTATGTAAAGAGTAAAGCAAGACTCGAAGGCTCTATTGTCGAGGCATACATTGTTAATGAGTCATTGACATTCTGTTTTATGTATCTTCATGATGTTGAGACTAAATTCAACAGACTGGAGCGTAATTTTGATGACAATGACAAAGTTGGTGATGCATCTATTTTCAAGCATAGAGTTAGTCCATATGGTAGAAGGCAACTGATACAGTTACCACAAGCATAAATTGATAAAATATATTGGTGCATTCTTAATAATTGTGTGAAATTACTTGATTATTTAGAGTAAGTGATATTTTGCCAACCTTATGAATTTTTTTGTTGTTGTGAGGTTTTTATTTTGTCATTTTATATGATATGTTTTAACTTTGTTCAATCTTTTGTTGTATCTTATGAAAAAATGTTTAGTGAGCACATGCTTGAATTAGAAAAAGAAAGTGAAGGCACTAATATTTCAGAGATGAAAATATTGAAAAAGCAACAAAAAATTGTTTCCTGATTAGCTTGAACATCGGGTAAGTCGTCGAACATTTTGGAGTCTTATTACCTTTTATTTTTTTTATGGTTTTCAACTTTTATATTGATCATATATTCTAATATATTTTTCTTTTTTTGGTAGATGAAAGTGTTACGTTCTCAAAGAGCAATTGAGGCTACTGATGATTTGTATTCATTAGCGTGTAAGCCTAATGAACGAGTGTCTAAATATACTGCTTGTATTGTTGATGGAGTACGATTCACTGTGAAAGATTGTGATGATCGACTCACAACCCAAAATAGTGATGTTTTAGTGTATGAGGAACTTGAAGATGATGACAATGGTGGTGGTGGCGATGAGAGGATGGAATTTTATGGAATTTTTGATTCATTGTTGAAGTGAATTAGAAAAATAAGAATTTGGCGTGCACTAAGAAGAAATAGAACCTCTCAATATGCTGTTGGGTAGTGAAAACGGCTTCATTGAAAGCTTAATTAAGAGACTGTTTATCACAAAGGACAACTCTTCACCAAGCCACACAAGAATTCAGTGCGTAAACAATTACTAAGCAGCTTTATGCTTCCAAAATCCTACTTGGAAATAAAACATTAAATTATAAATGAAATTAACATTTACATAAATTACAGTAATACAATATAAAGACAAATCTGTAATGCACTTCTTGCTTTGTCTTCATCAACTGCCGGTGAAAGACCACAGGCTCTGCTATACCTACAATAGAGACAAACTTGGTTAGTCCGAGGCCCTAAACAATTTTACTGAGCTTGAATAACTTTCAAAGGACATATACGGTGAAAACGCAACCAGATCAATTATTTTTTTATATTGAAGTTAAAAGATTTCATAAAGTTCCGGAATAATTGATATTTGAGAACAATAGATCACAATTTTGCTTAGTTTGATGAATTAATACAGTTTTCAGAGCAATCGGTACACAAAACATTACACATAAAGCTGAGACAAAGGACTCCATACGTTTTGAATTAAAATTTAAGCAATTCGGAAGGTGAATCACTACTCCACCCAAGTTGGTCTAGGCCGAAAGATGTTAGAATAGCCTGGAAAAGCAGAGAGGCCTCCAACTGTTCCATCCTTCAAGTCAAAAATCCAACCATCGGTTCCGGGGTGGCAATCAGAAACTTTAAAGGGATCAGCTTCTTTGAAATAAACACAATTCCCTTTACATCCTGGGAACTCTTTAGCAGAAAGAGAGAATGAATCATCATCACCAACAAAAAACACTGAATCGTCCAATCCATCCATCACCTCAACCCACTCACGTTTCTCTTCGTCAAACTTATAAACCTTGAATTCAAATTGTTGATTTCGCCGATGCCAGCTCTGCATAATCATAAACAAATCCAGGGAGGACTTTATTAAGTACGGCCAAACCCAGAAACGATGAAGCTGCTGTGGACCAGCAACTTGAGAAACAGTCAAAGACTTAGAGTCCACAGTTACAGTAATACCATGGAACATCACAGCAAAGAACTTTTCATTATGATAAATTATATCATGAAAATAAGCATGATCCATGTCTATTCTAGTCCATTTCTTGTCTACATTTCTCCAAACCAGCACCATTCCTTTTATTATCGTCATAACGGCGAACCCATCATCTTTTTCATCATGGCAAGACGCAACCGCCTTTCCGAAAACAACAGGCTTCCTTCTTTTAATACCTTTACCTTGATAAACTTGTTCAAGTCTATAAGATTTAGCTACTTCCTTGACCCGATAATTCAACAAGTACAAAGACTGGGGTAACTTTTCACACTCGAGTACCTTGTTGGACAAGTTTCCAAGACGACTTCTAGAAAGCGGATCCTCTAATCGAACTTTGCCAGAGTGCAATTCCTCGCTTTTGACTAACCATGTATACGTAGTTTGGTGTGGATTAAAGATACTGGGAAGGGGTTTGATGGCATAAAAAGTGAACTCGGCGAGCACCAAATGTCCGCGGCAGCCTGGAACTGGAAGTGATGGCATGGAGATTTTAAGGTTAGCGTGTGGAGATAGAGGTTTGGGCGGAGAAGGAATTGAGGAGCGAGATGATTTACAAACGGCGCGACAACGAAGATTATCGATTCGCGTGGGGAGATGACCTGCGATGGAAGCGAGAAGGTGGTCTGGAAGACTGGTCCAATCAGGGGTGGTCGTGTCCATTGTAGGCAAACACGGGTGACTTTCGAGATGGAAGAAGATGGTGAAAAAGAAGGTGATGGCGAAGTTACAAGACGAGAAGGGGTAAATTAATAATGGATAATGCAGTTCAATGGTCAAACTTTCACAGGACAAGCTTATACTTCTCGTGGGAGCCAAGTAAAATCCTTAAAATTAATGTTCAATCTTGATTTTAATATTCATAGTCAATTAATGAGAGAAAATAATATTTATAAATAAACTATGATCTTGCTTGCTATTCAAGCTGGGGCTGCCGGGCAGAATGGCCCATTAAAGACCGCCCAAGAACTAGTCCATTATGTTATGGGTCCGGTAAGAACCCAACATAAGAGTAAGACAACATTATCCGATACAAAGAAATTGACACATGCAACCAGAGTGGCTAACAGTAGCAAGAGGTAGGTGATTAAAAGTTAAAAGAAGATGGAAATGAAAATTTAAAGGGCTTAGACAACATTCTCTTTCGGAGCATGAAAAAGTTTGGAATGAGTGATAGATTAAGGAGCAAAAGTATCAATCAGTCGTTATAAAATATGCATATGTAATGTAATGGCCAAACTGTGAAAGAGATATGACAACTAGTGTGGAGGGTTAAATCTACGGTTGAGTCAAACAAGGATGATCCTGTGAGGATAAGGCCATTGACAATCTTGTAAACTTACAAAAACAAAGAAAAGTGAACGCAAAGGTTTGGAGGACACCGGTGTGATGTCAGTCATAGGCACTCTGAAGGGTTTATTGGGAGCATTTGGCTAGGGCATGACTTATCGGTGCTAGAGTAGCCAAAACACGGCTCTATGTACGAAGTAGAGTTAGTTAGAATTAGACTTTATGGTAGGAAAAGGCAATGATTCTTGGAAGCAAGAACTTAGTCAATTAGTGAGAGGGGTTGTGATTGAATGAATAATAAAAGGGTTGACCTCTGTTTATATAGTGAGCCAAAAAAGCTTGAATCCTTGTTGTAACGCCCCACTTGAGATACGTAGCCATTGTTTATGGTATGGCCTAAAGGGTTACTGAATTGCTCCTAAATGAGTTTGTATATTGTTCATGTTGTTTGGTTGGCCCTTGGTTGAGTTTATGTTTTGGGTTTGGTTGAGTGTTTACCCCGGAATTGATCAAGACTTGGCGGATTTTGGAGTTACAGCCTTCGCCGGGGTGAGGAAGAAGCTTTGTCGCGACGACGTCAGCTTTGAATTGGCAATGTCGATTCTGTAATTCTTCACCAGGGCGACAGAGAATCCTTCGCCGCGGCGAAGGGCCGACTAAGTTTTGTTTTAGTTTTCTAGAGAATTCTTTCTTAAAGGCAAAATGACCATTCTACCCCTAATTAGCAGAAAAAGTGGGGAGTAAAATACAAAGAAATTTCATGGAGAATAGGTTAGTGTGGGGGTGTGAGTGTAATAAATTAAAGGATAAAGGTGAAATTTTCAAGTAAGAGTAAGGGCAAAATGGGAAAGAGTATATATTATATGAGCTAATATGAGTTTAGTTCTCTAAACCCCTTCATTTCACCCATTTTCACCGCCTCTTCATCCATCATTTTCTCTCAATTCCTCTCTCAATCTTCCAAGGGATTTTTGAGAGTTTTGAGTTGGGATTTGACAAAGAATTGATCCTAAGCAAGAAGAGGTAAGAATTCCTACTCTAGATATGAGTTTTATTTATGTAAGGGTTAAGTTCTTACTAAGTTTATGCTTAGGAAATAAGAAAAAGCTAAGGTCCAACAAGAGTAGAGAGCTTTAATGGAGACTACTCAAGTATGAGGTAAGTAAATCCAACTCAAGCTAAAGTTTAAGAAATTCTTAAGCAGAGATTTCTTTATGCATGTATAAATGATGCTTGTTGAGAAATTGAGTATAGATATGTGTTTGTTTGTTGAGAAATTGAGCTGAGAAGAGTATTCATGTTATGTTTGTTGGATATATTTTCTTTATGGGAAGTGTTGATGTGTGATGAGTTTGAGATGAAGTTGGAGGAGATTGAGTAGATATTTTGGGAGTGTTCTTCTATGATAGGAACCATGTACATAAAAGAGAGTTTCCTCCCATTTTGGATGGTTAAAAAGAGAAGTAGAGTTGTAGTTAGAGAAGAGTTTTTGTATGCACATGAATTGTTTGATGAAATGCCTAAGTGAAAACATGTTACCAAACTGCCCTGTCACAGCCGTGACTTTCTAAGTGATTTTTGGGCATCTTAAAGTTTGAACTGGGTTTAGACCAAAACATAAAAGTCATAGCCCTGTCTCTAAGCTTTAAAACAGGATAAGAATCGTAGCAATCCGATATGTATAACTCAAGTTATGCCTTCTTGATTGTAACCTACACAGAATGACTGTCTTTGATGCAACATTGTATTGGTGCTTTTCATAAGTGCATTAATGAGCATCAACCATCATATGCATTAGTTGTGCATTTGAGTAATAGCTTGAGAAAGAGTAGAGAACCTTGTGAATGGACTACTCTAAGAGTTAAGTTATACTATGAGTACTAGCTTGAGAAAGAGATGAGTATTAGCTCGAGCAAGAGTAGAGATCTTTGTGAATCTAAGAGGAAAAGAAGAGAATAGAGTAGGTTGTGCGATGGGGAACCCGTGAGTGATGAGTAAAGTCACGAGAGTGGGTGCTTTTTGATCCTCAGCCGTGCCTCCGGTTAGATGGGGTTGTGACCATCACGAAGAGTGGAACATGAGGTTCTAGCCGTACCTCTGGTAAGATGGGGTCGTGACATTCAGAGAGAGAGAGAGAGAATACACTCACGTGGCCAAGGGTTCCGAATCCATGCATGACCGAGTCCGATCGACAGAGAATGAGTAGAAGTCACGAAGAGTGGGTTGGTGCTTTGTGATCTCCACCCAACCATGCCTCCAGTAAGATGAGGCCGTGACATGCAAGTGAGGAAGAATGAGCAAACATGAGAAAAAATAAAGAGAGACAATTAGTAGGGTTACGAATAGTGGGATGAGTACCCAACCGTGCCATCGGTAAGATGAGACCGTGACCTACAACAGAAAGTTAACAAAAAAGAGTTATGAGAAAGAGAGACAAAAAGAGAGACAAAAAGAGAATCAATAGAAGTCACGTAGAGCGGGAGAAGTCCCGGCCGTGCTTCCGGTAAGATGGGGCCGTGACATTCAAAGAGCGAGTTAGTAGAAATGAATTATGAGAAATGAGAATGAGGTAATAGAGAGAATTAAAGAATGAGAAAGCTTGAGAAAGCTTGAGAAAGAATAAGAGAGTTTGAGTTAGTAAGAATAGAGAGTAGAAGAAAGGAACATGCAGCTCTTTTGCATTAATTGCATGTACATCTCATACATGCATGCACCATGATTTCTTCCATGGTTAGTAAGAGTATGATGAGAATAAGAGAGAACCATGATTTTTCTTCATGGTGAATATGACGAGAATAAGAGAGAGAACCATGATTTTCCTTCACAGTGAGTAAGAATAAGAGAAAAAGAACAGAGAGAAAGAAAGAATAAAAAAAGTAGAACAGAGTTAAAGGAGAATAAAAGTATTAGAAATAAAGAGAAAAACAGTGAGAATTAGAAATAGAAGAACAATAAAGTAAGGAAAGAACCAAAGAGTGAGTTGCAGGGACAGGTAATAGAGGATTTACTTACTGAGTATTGTTGTGCTCAACCCGTTGTTCTTCCCTGTTTTGCAGGAAATAGGAGCAGCGGTCGGATGGACGTCGAGGAGCAGAGAGTATCGGCACCACTGTCCACCAACTATGATATTTTGTATTAATTAGAAAGTTTTTAATACATAGTCTTTTGTATTTGTAAAGAATTATATTTTATGAGTAAAAAAAAAAATTCAGCCCACTATCTTTCATACACTATTTATATCTATAATTTACATAGTATGTATTATAAGAATAGTAGTAGAGAGCAGGTATTACACTTGTAGAACTAGTTGTTCTCATAATAAGAGTTTGAGTGAACATGAAACTTGTAATACTAATTTATGGAAGATTAGGTGCATTAATTCATGTAAGATTAGAAATCTTGGATGAATTAGTATGGGACTTAAGTGTCTTGGAATGAATACATGCTAATGGGCTAGAGTTTATGTTAGCTTAACTTGTAGAAAAACCCGACTTGTGAAGTGATCCAAAGTGTAGGTTGACCCAATTCGTAGGGTGACCTTGATCATAGACTGATCCAACTCATGAGTAACCTAGCTTGTGAAGAGGGTTGACTCGTGGTATGGACTAACTCATAGAATGGGTCGGCCCATAGAATGGATGTTCTTACACAATGAGTCATCTCGCTAGATGGTCTTTCCACAAGTTGGATTTAAGTGTGGGTCCAATTAAAATTGGGCTAGACACTGAGCCATTTGGAGTGATTATGTTGTTACTGGATCTGACAAGGTTCAGTATGATTTTTGCCCCATACATACATAATTTATGGGCTGATCTTAAAGTTTCAACACAATTTTGACAACATGATTCATAGGAAAGTGATCTTTACAGTATAGTCCCTCCCCCTTTAAAGATCTGCAAGTACTGGAACCCATATTGGCGAACCTACTTGTAAATAATCACAAATCCTGAAAGATCCTCCCTGTTTGCAAAGGAAACACCATTCCTCTGCAATATTTTCATCCTTTAACCTCTTTCGTCTTCCCATCTTCTTCAAAAGCTCTGATTTTTACAAGACCAAATGTTTTTACAAGACCAACCCAAGTGCTTGACAACGAAAATCTTCTCCTAAACCTTGCAAAATCAGGGGAAAACAATGAGATCAAATCTTTAAGGCCTTGAACTTTACCATAATCAGTAAAAGAATTGAAAAGCTTTGAACTTTAAGGCACAAGCCAAGAGCTACATGTAAATGTAGTGGAAGTCAACAATGAAAAAGAAAGTAACCTTCAACCTTCAAAATGAAGAAAGTCGGGAGCTTCAATAATGAAGTCTTGATCAACAACGTTGGATACCAAAACTCATTTTGAAGAAACTAAGAACTCAAGTCTACAGTGCAAAAATGAAGCTTTCTGAGAGTGACCACTACAAAGAAGACGCTAAAACAAGAGACTTTATGATCCGGTAACCTTTATATCAGAAACTTGTTTGTTTATAAGAAGAATGTGCTACTCTTCAGCTCAAAAACAAAACTTGATAAGTTTTAAAAAACACTCTCCCATCGAACAATTTGCTTAAACTTAAGAAATGGAGTTTCTGAGATGACCGTTTTGCAGACAAAAAAAGAAACTAAAACGGAGAAGGCTTAAAGAAAAAGGTGAAAAAAGAAAAGGAGAGAGTGGAGTTTTTCGCTACTTCATGCAAAATTTAAAAACAGGACATGCAAAGCAGAAGCTGTTAACAGCCAAAACTGGAAAGGAACAGACAAATTTTGACCCTTTATGTAGCAACCATGTGATTTATTTATCTATTTATATTTTTACCTCAATTATCTGTTTTTAACTGAAGTTAAAAGATTCATAAAGTTCCGGAATATTGATATTTGAGAACAATAGATCACAATTTTGCTTAGTTTGATGAATTAATACAGGTTTCAGAGCTGAGACAAAGGACTCCATACGTTTTGAATTAAAATTTAAGCAATTCGTAAGGTGAATCACTACTCCACCCAAGTTGGTCTAGGCCAAAAGATGTTAGAATAGCCTGGAAAAGCAGAGAGGCCTCAACTGTTCCATCCTCAAGTCAAAAATCAACCATCGGTTCAGGGTGACAATCAGAAACTTTAAAGGGAGCTTCTTTGAAATAAACACAATTCCCTTTACATCCTGGGAACTCTTTAGCAGAAAGAGAGAATGAATCATCATCACCAACAAGAAACACTGAATCCTCCAATCCATCCATCACCCAACCCACTCACGTTTCTCTCGTCAAGCTTATAAACCTGAATTCAAATTGTTGATTTCGCCGATGCCAGCTCTGCATAATCATAAACAAATCCAGGGAGGACTTTATTAAGTACGGCCAAACCCAGAAACGATCAAGCTGCTGTGGGCCAGCAACTTGAGAAACTGTCAAAGACTTAGAGTCCACAGTTACAGTAATACCATGGAACATCACAGCAAAGAACTTTTCATTATGATAAATTATATCATGAAAATAAGCAAATTCATGTTATTTAGTCCATTTCTTGTCTACATTTTCCCAAACCAGCACCATTCCTTTTATTATCGTCATAACGGCGAACCCATCATCGTTTTCATCATGGCAAGACACAACCGCCTTTCCGAAAACAACAGGTTCCTTCTATTAATACCTTTACCTGATAAACTTGTTCAAGTCTATACGATTTAGCTACTTCCTTGACCTGATTATTCAACAAGTACAAAGACTGGGGTAACTTTTCAGACTCGGGTACTTGTTGGACAAGTTTCTAAGACGACGTCTAGAAAGCGGATCCTCTAATCGAACTTTGCCAGAGTGCAATTCCTCGCTTTTGCTAACCATGTATAAGTAATTTGGTGGGGTTAAAGATACTGGGAAGGGGTTTGATGGCATAAAAAGTGAACTCGGCGAGCACCAAGTGTCCGCGGCAGCCGGAACTGGAAGTGTGGCAGGAAAATTTAAGGTTAGCGTGTGGAGATAGAGGTTTGGCGGAGGAGGAATTGAGGAGCGAAATGATTTACAAACGGGCGCGACAACGAAGATTATCGATTCGTGTGGGGAGATGATCTGCGATGGAGGCGAGAAGGTGGTCTGAAGACTGGTCCAATCAGGGGTGGTCGTGTCCATTGTAGGCAAACACGGGTGACTTCGAGATGGAGAAGATGGTGAAAAAGAAGGTGATGGAGAAGGGGTGAATTAATAATGGATAATGCAGTTCAATGGTCAAACTTTCACAGGACAAGCTTATACTTCTCGTGGAAGCCAAGAAAAATCCTCAAAATTAATGTTCAATCTTGATTTTAATATTCATAGTCAATTAATGAGAGAAAATAATATTATAATAAACTATGATCTTGCTTGCTATTCAAGCTGGGGCTGCTGGGCAGAATGGCCCATTAAAAACCGCCCATGACACATGCAACCAAAGTGGCTAACAGAAGCAAGAGGTAGGTGATTAAAAGTTTAAAAGAAGATGGACATGAGAATTAAAGGGCTTAGACAACATTCTCTTTAGGGCATGAAAAAGTTTTGAGTGAGTGATAGATAAGGAGCAAAAGTATCAATGAATCGTTATAAAATATGCATATGTATGCAATGGCCAACTGATAAAAGAGATATGACAACCAGTGTAGAGGATAAATATATGGTTGAGTCAAACGAGAAGATCCCATAAGGACAAGGTCACTGACAATCTTGTAAATATGCAAAAACAAGAAGAGTGAGCACAAAGACTCAGAGGACACTAGTGTGATGTGGTTGTTGGCACTCTGAAGGGTTAGGGTGATGTTGGGTTGGCACTCTGAAGGGTTTATCAGGAGTGTTGGCTGGCGCGACTTATCGGTGTAGAGTGGCCAGAACACGACTCTATGTACAAAGTAGAGTTAGTCGGCATCAGGCTTTATGGCAGGAACAGGCAGTGGTTCTTGGGAGCAAGAACTTAATTAATTAGGGAGAGGGGTTGTGATTGAATGAATAATAAGAGGGTTGACCTCTATTATATAGTGAGCCCAAGAAACTTGAGGTCTTTTTTTTCCTAAGAAGACCGCGTTACTCTTCAGTTCAAAAGCAGAACTTGATTAGTTTAAAAAATAACTCTCTCCCGTCAAACAATTTCCTTAAACATAAAAAATGGAGATTTTGAGAAGACCCTTCTGCAGAAAGAAAAAAGGAAACTAAAACAGAGAAGGCTTAAAGAAAAAGGTTAAAAAAGAAAAGGAGAGAGTGGAGTTTTTCGGCTTCTCGCTACTGTCTGCAAAATTTTCTAAAACTGGAAAGGAACAGACAAATTTTGACCCTTTTTCAAATTGGCAAGTAGCAACCATTTGATTTATTTATCTATTTATATTTTTATCTCAATTATTAGCTGATGATATTTATTGTTTTCCAAAAATATGGGATATTAGTAAACTGGAGGAATTTATTACTACACTGTTCACTCACCCCCATGATCATTGAAAGGTCTTATATCACTTGTCATTATAAGTCTAGTTAATTTATCAACCAATACACTTTTCAGAGCAATCGAGATACAAAACATTACACATAAGGCTGAGACAAAGTGCTCCAAACGTTTTGAATTAAAATTTCAGCAACAGTTGCAACAATTCGGAAGGGAGACAAGATGAATCACTGCCCCAACCCAGATGGTCTTGGCCAAAAGATGTTAGAATAGCCTGGAGAAGCAGAGAAACCTCCAACTGTTGCATCCTTCAAGTCAAAAAACTGACCATGGATCAACTTCAAAGGGACCACTATTGATATAAACACAATTCCCTTTATATCCTGGGAACTCTTCGGCAGAAAGAGTGAATGAACCATCATACCCAACAAAAAACACTGAATCCTCCAGTCCATCCATCACCGCAACCCATTCACGTTTCTCTTCGTCAAGCTTATAAACCTTGAATTCGAAAGATTGAATAGATTGAACTGATATCTTAATAATCAAAAACAAATCCTGGAAGGACTTTATTAAGTCCGACCGAATCCGTAAACCTTCAATCTGCAGTGGACCAGCAACTTGAGAAACAGAAATAGACTTAGAATCCACAGTCACAGTAACACCAGTTGACATCAAAGCAAAGAACTTTTCATTATGATAAATTACATCAAGAGGATCCTCATAACCGACGTTTATTATAGCCCATTTCTTGTCTACATTTCTCCACATCAGCACGTTTCCTCGGATTATTGTCATAACGGCGAACCCATCATCACTCGCATCATGGCCGGAAGACACAACTGCCTTTCCGAAAACACAAGGAATCCTTCTATTAATATCTTTACCTTGATAAAATACTTCAAGTCTATAGGCTTTAGCTACTTCCTTGACCCGATAATCCAACAAGTTCAAAGACTCGGGTAACTTTTCAGACTCGGGTACCCAGTCGTCCCAGATTCCAAGACGACGACTAGAAAACGGATCCTCTAATCGAACTTTGCCATTGTGCAATTCCTCGCTTTTGACTAACCATGTATACTTAATTTGGTTTGGATTGGAGATACTGGGAAGGGATTTGATGGCATAAAAAGTGAACTCGACGAGAACCAAGGGTGGAAGGCCTGGAAGGGTAATTTTAAGGTCCGCATGTGGAGATGCAGGTTTAAGCGGTGGAGGAATTGAGGAGCGAAATGAATTACAGACGGCGCGAAGACAAAGCCTATCAATTCGCGTGGGGAGCTGTTCTGCGATGGAGGCCAGAAGGTGGTCTGGAAGACTGGGCCAATCAGGGGTGGTTGTGTCCATTGCTGGAATAAACTGGTGACTTCTGAGATATAAGTACACAGAAAAGAAGAAGAAGATGGTGATGAAGAAGGCGAGAAGGGTTGAATAAATAATGGGTGGTGCAATTTAACGGTCATGACGAAGAAGGCGAGGAGGACTGAGTAAATAATGGGTAGTGCGATTCAACGGTCATGACGAAGAAGACGAGGGCTGAGTAAATAATGGGTAGCGGCGTAGCGCAATTCAACGGTCATGACGAAGAAGACGAGGAGGGTTGAATTAATGATGGGTAGTGCAAATCAACGGTCAAACTTTCACATGAGAGGATTATACTTCTCGAGGAAGCCATGCAAAATCCTGAAAATTAATATTTGATCTTGATTTTAATATTCAAGAAAATTCCACCTTTTTAGCCACCTTAATTAAATTTTTTTTCTTAAATGATACCCTCATAAATATTCATTATTCGATTCTTTTTCCTTTTTAAAAATAAGAAGAAAACAAATTTTATACTACAACCAATAGAAAAACAAGAAGTTGGCGTGCACTATGAAGAAATAGAACCTCTCAATATGATGTTGGGAAGTGAAAAGGGCTTCATTGAAAGCTTAATTAAGAGACTGTTTATCGCAAAGGACGACTCTTTTCAGCAAGCCACACAAGAATTCAGTGCGTAAACAATTACTTAGCAGCCTTATGCTTCCAAAATCCACTTGGTAAGTCCGAGGCCCTAAACAATTTCACTGTGCTTGAATAACTTTCAAAGGACATATATGGTGAAAACGCAACCAGATCAATTATTTTTTTTAACTGAAGTTAAAAGATTTCATAAAGTTCCGGAATAATTGATATTTGAGAACAATAGATCACAATTTTGCTTAGTTTGATGAATTAATACAGGTTTCAGAGCTGAGACAAAGGACTCCATACGTTTTGAATTAAAATTTAAGCAATTCGTAAGGTGAATCACTACTCCACCCAAGTTGGTCTAGGCCAAAAGATGTTAGAATAGCCTGGAAAAGCAGAGAGGCCTCCAACTGTTCCATCCTTCAAGTCAAAAATCCAACCATCGGTTCCAGGGTGACAATCAGAAACTTTAAAGGGAGCTTCTTTGAAATAAACACAATTCCCTTTACATCCTGGGAACTCTTTAGCAGAAAGAGAGAATGAATCATCATCACCAACAAGAAACACTGAATCCTCCAATCCATCCATCACCCCAACCCACTCACGTTTCTCTTCGTCAAGCTTATAAACCTTGAATTCAAATTGTTGATTTCGCCGATGCCAGCTCTGCATAATCATAAACAAATCCAGGGAGGACTTTATTAAGTACGGCCAAACCCAGAAACGATCAAGCTGCTGTGGGCCAGCAACTTGAGAAACTGTCAAAGACTTAGAGTCCACAGTTACAGTAATACCATGGAACATCACAGCAAAGAACTTTTCATTATGATAAATTATATCATGAAAATAAGCATAATTCATGTCTATTCTAGTCCATTTCTTGTCTACATTTCTCCAAACCAGCACCATTCCTTTTATTATCGTCATAACGGCGAACCCATCATCACTCTCATCATGGCAAGAAGACACAACCGCCTTTCCGAAAACAACAGGCTTCCTTCTATTAATACCTTTACCTTGATAAACTTGTTCAAGTCTATACGATTTAGCTACTTCCTTGACCTGATAATTCAACAAGTACAAAGACTGGGGTAACTTTTCAGACTCGGGTACCTTGTTGGACAAGTTTCTAAGACGACGTCTAGAAAGCGGATCCTCTAATCGAACTTTGCCAGAGTGCAATTCCTCGCTTTTGACTAACCATGTATACGTAATTTGGTGTGGATTAAAGATACTGGGAAGGGGTTTGATGGCATAAAAAGTGAACTCGGCGAGCACCAAGTGTCCGCGGCAGCCTGGAACTGGAAGTGATGGCAAGGAAAATTTAAGGTTAGCGTGTGGAGATAGAGGTTTGGGCGGAGGAGGAATTGAGGAGCGAAATGATTTACAAACGGCGCGACAACGAAGATTATCGATTCGTGTGGGGAGATGATCTGCGATGGAGGCGAGAAGGTGGTCTGGAAGACTGGTCCAATCAGGGGTGGTCGTGTCCATTGTAGGCAAACACGGGTGACTTTCGAGATGGAGAAGATGGTGAAAAAGAAGGTGATGGAGAAGGGGTGAATTAATAATGGATAATGCAGTTCAATGGTCAAACTTTCACAGGACAAGCTTATACTTCTCGTGGAAGCCAAGAAAAATCCTCAAAATTAATGTTCAATCTTGATTTTAATATTCATAGTCAATTAATGAGAGAAAATAATATTTATAAATAAACTATGATCTTGCTTGCTATTCAAGCTGGGGCTGCTGGGCAGAATGGCCCATTAAAAACCGCCCATGACACATGCAACCAAAGTGGCTAACAGAAGCAAGAGGTAGGTGATTAAAAGTTAAAAGAAGATGGACATGAGAATTTAAAGGGCTTAGACAACATTCTCTTTCAGGGCATGAAAAAGTTTTGAGTGAGTGATAGATTAAGGAGCAAAAGTATCAATGAATCGTTATAAAATATGCATATGTAATGCAATGGCCAAACTGATAAAAGAGATATGACAACCAGTGTAGAGGATTAAATATATGGTTGAGTCAAACGAGAATGATCCTATAAGGACAAGGTCACTGACAATCTTGTAAATATGCAAAAACAAAGAAGAGTGAGCACAAAGACTCAGAGGACACTAGTGTGATGTTGGTTGTTGGCACTCTGAAGGGTTTAGTGTGATGTTGGTTGTTGGCACTCTGAAGGGTTTATCAGGAGTGTTTGGCTAGGGCGCGACTTATCGGTGCTAGAGTGGCCAGAACACGACTCTATGTACAAAGTAGAGTTAGTCGGCATCAGGCTTTATGGCAGGAACAGGCAGTGGTTCTTGGGAGCAAGAACTTAATTAATTAGGGAGAGGGGTTGTGATTGAATGAATAATAAGAGGGTTGACCTCTATTTATATAGTGAGCCCAAGAAACTTGAGTCCTTGTAGAACTAGTCGTTCTCATAATAAGAGTTTGAGTAAACAAGAAACTTGTAATACTAATTTCATGGAGGATTAGGTGCATTAATTCATGTAAGATTAGAAATCTTGGATGAATTAGGAAGTGTATGGGACTTAAGAGTCTTGGAATGAATACATGCTAATGGGCTAGAGCCTATGTTAGCTTAACTTGTAAAAAAACCCCTACTCGTGAAGTGATCCAAAGTGTAGGTTGACTCAATTCGTAGGATGACCTTGATCATAAACTAATCCAACCCGTTGAGTAACCTAGCTTGTAAAGAGGGTTGACTCGTGGTATAGACTAACTCATAGAATGGGTTAGCCCATAGAATAGATCTTCTTACACAATGAGCTATCTCACTGGATGGTCTCTTCACAAGTTGGATTTAAGTGCGGGTCCAATTGAAAATTGGACTAGGCACTAGGCCGTTTGTAGTGAATATGTTGGTACTAGATCTGACAAGGTTCTGTATGATTTTTGGGCCGTACATACAGAATTTATGGGCTGATCTTAAAGTTTCAACACAATTTGACAATATGATTCATAGGAAAGTGATCTTTACAGTATAGTCCCTCCCCCTTTAAAGATCTGCAAGTACTGGAACCCATATTGGCGAACCTACTTGTAAATAATCACAAATCCTGAAAGATCCTCCCTGTTTGCAAAGGAAACACCATTCCTCTGCAATATTTTCATCCTTTAACCTCTTTCGTCTTCCCATCTTCTTCAAAAGCTCTGATTTTTACAAGACCAAATGTTTTTACAAGACCAACCCAAGTGCTTGACAACGAAAATCTTCTCCTAAACCTTGCAAAATCAGGGGAAAACAATGAGATCAAATCTTTAAGGCCTTGAACTTTACCATAATCAGTAAAAGAATTGAAAAGCTTTGAACTTTAAGGCACAAGCCAAGAGCTACATGTAAATGTAGTGGAAGTCAACAATGAAAAAGAAAGTAACCTTCAACCTTCAAAATGAAGAAAGTCGGGAGCTTCAATAATGAAGTCTTGATCAACAACGTTGGATACCAAAACTCATTTTGAAGAAACTAAGAACTCAAGTCTACAGTGCAAAAATGAAGCTTTCTGAGAGTGACCACTACAAAGAAGACGCTAAAACAAGAGACTTTATGATCCGGTAACCTTTATATCAGAAACTTGTTTGTTTATAAGAAGAATGTGCTACTCTTCAGCTCAAAAACAAAACTTGATAAGTTTTAAAAAACACTCTCCCATCGAACAATTTGCTTAAACTTAAGAAATGGAGTTTCTGAGATGACCGTTTTGCAGACAAAAAAAGAAACTAAAACGGAGAAGGCTTAAAGAAAAAGGTGAAAAAAGAAAAGGAGAGAGTGGAGTTTTTCGCTACTTCATGCAAAATTTAAAAACAGGACATGCAAAGCAGAAGCTGTTAACAGCCAAAACTGGAAAGGAACAGACAAATTTTGACCCTTTATGTAGCAACCATGTGATTTATTTATCTATTTATATTTTTACCTCAATTATTAGCTGTTGATATTTTTTATTTTTTTTTCCAAATACATGGGGTATTAGGTTGGTCTAAGCTAACTGGCTCATGATTGTTGAAAGGTCTTATATCACTTGTCATTGCAACTCTGAGTAGTTAATTTATTAATAAACTGGAGAAATCCAGTGTAAATTTCTAGTTTTTGAAGAGAATCACAGATTCTGGATTTTATCAAGATTAAAATGTTATATCTTTGATAAAAGTCTGTTGATACAGAATTCTGCACCAACTAGAGAATTCTGATTGACCCTGTCGAAACCGGAATGGATGTACGCGTGATTTAATGAAAATCAGTAATAAATAAAAAAGAAAAAGTCATAAATAAGAACACAAGACAATTTTTAAAGTGGTTCGGCAAGTTAGAATTTGAGTCTACGTCCATTGTTATCTTATTGCTTTTGAGTGCTTACAAAGAACATTAAATTTCTAGGAAAATTTGCTTAAAATAATTGCCCAACCCCCCCGAAAACAAGCTATCACGGGTTTATATAGTACTCATTTACATGATAGAGTTGAGATAAGATTCAGATACGTAGAATTAGAAAGTTGCATGATCTTCGGCTATCTTAGTTGGAGTCTAAGTCAATCTGAATATCTTCCTTCCAAATTGAGTCAATCTAAATATATTCTCTCCTAATAGGAATTATACTCTCCGGATTGACCGCACACAAAGTCTATGTTACTTTTCAATAACCTTCCAGAGATGAAATTTTGCTTAGCTTGATGAACAGTTACACTTTTGAGCAATCTGAGATACAAAACATTACACATAAGGCTGACACAAAGCACTCCAATACGTTTTGAATTAAAATTTTAAGCAACAGTTACAACAATTCGGCAGGGAAACAAGATGAATCACTACTCCACCCAAGTTGGTCTAGGCCAAAAGATGTTACAATACCCTGGAAAAGCAGAGAAACCTCCAACTGTTCCATCCTTCAAGTCAATAATCCCACCTCTAATGGGACCTTCTTTGAAATAAACACAATTCCCTTTACATCCTGGGAACTCTTTAGCTGAAACACAGAATGAACCATCATTACCAACAAAAAACACTGAATCCTCCAATCCATCTATCACCTCAACCCACTCACATTTCTCTTCGTCAAGCTTATAAACCTTGAATTCAGCTGGTTCATTTCTCCGTTGCCAGTTCTTCGTAATCATAAACAAATCCTGGGAGGACTTTACTAAGTACATCGCAATCTCAATCGGTGGACCGGCAACTTCAGAAACACTCAAAGACTTAGAGTCCACAATTACAGTAACACCACAGATCATCAAAGCAAAGAACTTTTCATTATGATAAATTATATCAAGAGGAAACTCATAATCGATGATTATTGTAGCCCATTTCTTGTCTACATTTCTCCACACCAGCACCAATCCTCCCATTATCGTCATTAAGGCGAACCCATTATCACTCTCATCATAGCAAGAAGACACAACCGCCTTTTCGAAAACAACAGGCTTCTTTCTATTAATACCTTTACCTTGATAAACTTTTTCAAGTCTATAAGATTTAGCTACTTCCTTGACCCGATAATTCCGCAAGTCCAAAGACTGGGGTAACTTTTCAGACTCGGGTACCTTGTTGGACAAGTTTCCAAGACGACGTCTGCAAAGCGGATCCTCTAATCGAACTTTGCCAGAGTGCAATTCCTCGCTTTTGACTAACCATGTATACGTAGTTTGGTGTGGATTGGAGATACTAAGAAGGGGTTTGATGGCATAGAAAGTGAACTCGGCAAGCACAAAGTGTCCGCGACGGCCTGCAAGATATGGCATGGGAATTTTAAGGCCCGCATGTGGAGACAGAGGCTTGGGCGGGGGAGGAATTGAGGACCGAAATGAATTACAAACGGCGCGAAAACAAAGCGTATCAATTCGTGTGGGGAGCTGCTCTGCGATGGAGGCGAGAAGGTGGTCTGGAAGACTGGACCAATCAGGGGTGGTTGTGTCCATTGTTGGCCAAAACAGGTGACTTTCGAGATAGAAGAAGAAGATGGTGATGAAGAAGAAGACGAGCAGGGGTGAATTAATAATGAATAATGCAGTTTAATGGTCAAACTTCCACATGACAAGATTGTACTTCTCGTCGAAGGCAAGCAAAATCCTGAAAATTAATGTTTAATCTTAATTTTAATATTCATAAACTATGATCTTGCTTGCTATCCAAGCTGGGCAGAGTCGCCCATTAAATATATCTAAGCCGCATATGAAGACGGCCCAAGAACTAGTCCATTATGTTATGGGTCCGGCAGCATTATCCTATTCAAAGAACTTAACAAGTGCCAGAGTGGCTAACACTTGGTAAGAGGTAGGTCAGTAGGTGATTATCACAAAAGGACAAATCTTTCACCAACCCACAAAAGAATCAATTATGTACTTCTAAGCAGCTTTAAGCAGTCACAACCCTACATGCAAATAAACTATTACAATTACAAATCATAATGCTATAGACTAATAGTACAATATAGAAGTACAACTTCACTAAAATTTTCTTGAATAAAGCTTACACCAAGTACCATCTTGTTAAAAACAGCACAAAATACCAAATAAATTTAGTTAACAAAACAACAGAGAACTGCACTTTAGTACCAGAGACTGCAACTTAGCTGCAAATGAAGAAAACTGGAAACAGAGCACTTTAAATCAAACTTGTTAAACAAAAGTAAATGAAGAATGAAATCCATGTTAGTACTTAGTACCAACGAAAAAGAAACCATCAAAAGTAAAGGGCAATTCTCAAACTCAAATTTTGAACAACCAGAGAAGAAATGTCATTAATTCAAAAATACTGATTGGATAAATGTTCCATATTGGGCTGAATAAAAACAGGCAATCAAGTTGACATACATTGGCTATGCAGTATGACAGAGTAATAAAGGATAATCGTAAAGTAAAACATCAAACCATTACCATAAATTAGTATCGGTTATCAATACAAACTTAGAAGAAGTTCCTAAATGCAATACTCATAGTCCTGAAAATGCTCAAAATACACACAATAGTGATGAAAATTCAATCTACAAACCATACTTGTACTGGACAATACAACTACAAGTTGAAAGAATTCGACAAACATACTTCACAAAAGAAAGTTTCACACTGATCCGAAAGAGGCCTCCAAGCAGTAACCCTGTAATTTCATCGGCAAAATCCTTTGTCAGAAGAATAAAATCTGCTTGCACAAACCCTGTTTGAGAAGTCCTTAGTGTATCATACAACAAAGAATCTAACAAAGATTTACACAGAATGAACTAAAGTCATAATATGAAATTGTCTTGAGAATATCTACCAAAACGAAATCAATAATAAAACTAATCAATGAAGAGCACATCGTATATAATCTCATATTTAAAGTTTTAAACGGCCAGAGAAGAAAAAACTAACGTCGGTTAAAGAGGAAGAGGAGGCGACGAGGAGGCCGAGGAGGAGATGTCAGCCATGGTACCAAGACCCAGCACCCACGTTGGTGGAGGCCAGAAAATTTTAGTACAATCTGGAAAAGGCAGGGGCAGACCAGTAATATTATGCGTCAAGTAAACTTTATTGGCATTCATTCCGGGGTAAGTTTCTTTAGGCTTGAGGAAATGTTCGTAAGTAAAGTAGACAGTATTCTCAGTCAATGCCAAGAACTCCTTCGCCGAAACAGAAAAAGAAAAATCGCTTCCAAGAAACAAAACTCTGTCCCCAACGCCATCCTTCATTGGAACCCAGTCGTTATCTAACCCATTGTGTTCATAAAACTGCAAAGTTAGAAGAACACTGCCACTTTTGAAATCCCAGAACGTATTCACAAGAAACAGATTTTCCGACGACTCCACGAAAAAATGTCGGCCTCTGGTACCCTTCTTGTGCGTAACTTGAACAATTTCAAGAGTTTTAGCATCGAAACCCAAAGTAGGACCAGACAAACACTGAGCATAGAATTTGTTATCGTGGTAAATGACATCCACAACATCATGCACATCAACGTCCAATACAGTCAATTCCTCATTCCCTTCCTTCCACCCCACCAGTTTCCCACGATTATCATCGTCGCCAGCACGGAAGATGTCCGGACTCTCATTATGAATCGCCAAGAATGAAAACTTTTCAGCATACCTGGAAACAGCAACTTTAAAGAAGATGGTGGGCTCCCTTTGGTAAAGCTTACTCATATGGACTCTACTGTTATTCTTTTTACTAGAAGTGGCCAACTCAAGCCGGTAACCTTTGGTTATCTCTCTGATACGATAATCTAACAGGTTGATAGTTCTAGGTAAGTCGTTGGGCAACTTACGGTAACGGAACCCACCGAGAGGATCCTTTATCCGGACAGTGCCGATGTTTGTCCTTTCAATATTAACGAACCATGATTGAGAGGTTTCATTTGGATTGGAAACAACGCGTGGCTCAAGAGCGAATATGGTTGACTCTGTGAGTAGAAAGTGGTCAATGCGACCACTGGTGGTGGTCGGGTCCGTGTAAAAGGGGAAGGAAGTGTTCCGAACTTTGGTTGGAATAACGGTTTTGATAGGAGAAGGAATCGCCATTTGAAAAGTTTTACAAACTGACCGAAACCGGAGATGATCATCAAAACTCTCGAGCCTTTCTCCGATTTTGGACAAAATGTGAAGCGGTAACAAAGTCCAGTTGGGCTTCATCCAATGCCTCCTTTCCTCATCCATGGTTGAAGAAAGAAGAGAGTTTAGTAAAGCAAAGAAAACTGCGAAGTCTAGAAGACAGGAAATGGATTGATATGGAGGCGAGTGGAGACTGGAGAGTGAAGAGTAAGTTTGGAATGAAACACAGTGGGAGACACAGCGTGTTTTTGAGGGTTTTAGTGTTGAGACGATTGATGGGGAATGAAATGAGAGGGAAATGAGTTGATAGTGTAGACGAATATATTAGTAATGAAAGCTACCTCTGGATTTCATATCTTTACAGGGTAAAACGCTGTTCAGCAATTCTGACATAAAAGAAAAGTAAGGCTACTTGTACTGGAAAAGTGTGTCTTTGATTTGAATAAAGAATAATTCTAGCCCACAAATCGAAAATACAAATAAAATGTAATACAGTTGTACCATTGTCATCGGAAAGAAGGAATGACCTCTCAGTTACTCTATTAAATTATTAATACGTGGTGATGATGACTGATGACTGATGATGATGAGATATGAATGGACATGGATGAAACCTATTTGGATAGGAAATTAGGGAACAGTTAATATCACTGTTAGAATGGGTGAGGTAAGTAGAACTGAAGGTGCAGGCCACCTCAAGATCAACTAGCACACAGTACTCAATTAAAATGAAATCTATCTGGAGAAGGGAATCTATCCAAAAGATTACAGCTTGATATAATTGCAGGTTAATTTCCTCCACACAATAATTTAAAAAAGAACGAAGTGCTTTTTTTTTTATCAGTTGACGGATACCTCCACTACTTCTTAAGATAATTTAACGGAATTTTTTAAGCTTAAGATAATGTTGAATGCTCCTCAAGCTCAAGCAAATCAACTTGAAATCATACCTTTAATAAGTAAACTACAATCCATATGCATGCTTAAAAACAAACAAAACTGCTAGGTTTTGTTATTGTTAAGTAGGCACTATCCTAAAACAAATGTTCTATAGTTGCTGTTAATTTTTTTTTTGCCCATTAATGCAAAAAGCTCTGAAGAAGGAAACCCAGAAAAGCAATAGCAAAATCATTTGCAAGAAGGGGTAAGACAAAAGTAAAAGATTTTGTAGTCAAAACAGGGCAATATAATGAACAATTTAAAGCCAACCCAGGCAGAAAACATATATTTGAAATCAGTAATGTAAGAATAAAATTACACAACACAAACAGACATAATACTTGCGTGTTTCAACATAACTTATTTATATCCACAAAGGTGAGAAATTCATCATGAGAATACAATAGTACTCAACAGTCAACGCCTTAATTAAACTCGGTATTGTAATAAATATGATATATAATAAACATAGCATATTTCATAACTTTTACATCAAATACCTTGTATTCTCGTATTTTCTCATAACTTTGAAATGATTCTCACCCCTATATTTAAAGGTAGTATATCGGACATTTTATTTCTAATAAGATTCATATTTCAATTTCTAATAAGATTTCCATAATTTTGTTCTTATTTACTATTGTATTCTTTATTAAATAGTTTTTCGAAAGACAAATTTTTACATAAAAATAATTAGGAGAGTGCGCCACAATATCCTAACAATTATGCCTATTTTTACACTGCATCTATTACAGTGACATGCACTATATCAAAATTAACCATGTGAAAGATTGCATTATCATTGAAATGAAATCTTATAATTGCAGCAAGCTATCTCAATGATACAAACGGACATAGAACTGAATTGAAATATTCCACAAGAGTGGAGAAGGTTCATAATTCATAAGAAGAAAATAATGCACATGACAAAGTATACGACGCCTGCTCAGTGAATATATCAAAGAAGAGATTCACTTCAGTCTTATCAGCCCTAAAGTTTCAAATTTTATATGCATCAAACCTGTCAACATAAAGAGCAGAATAAATGAGGATCAAGGCCATATGAATACGGCTTTAAAAAGGCTAACATTGATTCTCAAAGCTTAGAGCCGCGCTTGACTACTACTTCGGCCAGTTGGTGGAGGCCAGAAAATCTTAGAGTGGCTTAGAAAAGAGGAGAGCCGATCAAAAATGTCGTTCTTCAAGTCTAGAATCCCACCATCGGTTCTAGGGTGACAACTATCGATTTTAAAGGGATCATGTTTGCAGTAAAGACATTTTCCCTTTACATCCACAGAACTCTTTAGCCGAAAGAGAGAAAGAGCAATCACTTCCTAGAAAAGACACTTTATCCTCCAATCCATCCACAACCTCAACCCACTCACGTCTTTCTTCATCTAGTTTATAAACCTTGAAATAGGGTGATCGAAGTTGTCATATATTGGATATGGTAGATACTTCTCTTAACCTCGACAGATTGTCTATTTACGACGACTCATTCACGGTAAACTTAATGTCTAATTGGGTTTAAAATTAGTTTATTAATATTTGGGTCTTTGGTCTGTTAAATTCAAATAAACCCAAATGGGGTTAATGTTTTCTATTATGAGTATTGGATATGGTAGATACTTCTCTTAACCCCGATAGATTGTCTATTTACGATGACTCATTCACGGTAAACTTAATGTCTAATTGGGTTTAAAATTAGTTTATTAATATTTGGGTCTTTAGTCTGATTAAATTCAAATAAACCCGAATGGGGTTAATATTTTCTATTATGAGTATTTTGTAATAGTGAAAACCTAATGTGGAAAAAAAAAAAAATTGAGTTAAAGTGAGCTACCATTATAATTGTGACAAGTTCTTATACTTAATAAGAATTCTATGTTTGAATGTTGAATGTAGTTTCTTAATCGAAACGAATCAGAATAAATCGTGTGTTATGTCTTTTATATTATATTTTACTTGTGACCTGTTTGGTTTTCAGTTTCAACACCATAGGTATTTCTTAATGATCACAAACAAATCCTTGAACGAATTTACCAAGTAACGTTCACCAAAATTCCAACTTTGCGGTGGACTTGCAACTTTAGTAACAATCAAAGACTTAGGATCCACCGTTACGGTTAGGCCAGTGCACATCATAGCATAAAATTTTCTCCTATGATAAATTATATCGACAAAAGAATCATAACCCATGTCTATGATAGGCCATTTCTTGTCTACATTTCTCCATACACCTAGCTGATCCCCACCTTCTATTATCCTGATAAGTACATACAACCGCTTTGCTATAAACAACCTGTTTCTTTCTATTAATACCTTTACCTTGAGCAACCATTTCAAGTCTGAATGCTTTAGCTACCTCTTTAACCCGATAATCCAACAGGTTGAGAGACTCGGGTAACTTTTCAAGTTTGGGTATCTTGTTCGACAAGTTACCAAGACGAAGTCTACAGAGTGGATCCTCTAGTCGAACTTTGCCAGAGTTTAACTCTTCCATTTTGACTACCCATGTTTCTGTCTGATGTGGATAGGAGATTTTGGTGTGGGGTTCGATTGCATAGAAGGTGATCTCCGCGAGTACCAAGTGTCCTCTACGGCTGGTGGTTTGCGGAGGGATGGAAATTTTAAGGTCTGGACGTGGAGATGGAAGTTTCGGCGGAGGGATTGAGAAGCGAAATGAATTACAAACTGCACGAAAACAAAGAGTATCTATTGGCGTTTGAAGATGCTTTGCAATGGCGGCAAGAACGTGATCTGGAAGACTGGACCAATCAGGCGTCGCCATGTCCATGTATGGCAAAACTGGTGACTTCAAGGGATGAGAATCGAAAGAAGATGTTGATGAAGTTGTTGGAACCCTGCAGAAGCCAGAAGGTTTGAAAATTAACGTAATTCGCTGGTCAAATTCTCACATGACAAGATTTTCCTTGTCTTGGAAGCCAAGCATATTCCTCCAAATTAATATTCAACCTTGATTATTATATAGAAGTGGTTCTTAAAAAATTGCCCACTACGCAGGCGATGGGAACTTTCTCTTGATAATTTTTATAATGGTAGATCAACTTCGATTTTGTTTGGCAGCCAAGAATTCGAGTTTTTATACAGTAAACGAACCTTGACACTAAGAAAAGTAGAAAACGAGAGCTCGGTACAACTTCATAAGATTACTTAATAATACTTTAATTAACACTACACAAGTACCCATATACATATTTACATGAATAGGAGTTCAAAATAGCAAAGATACCATCTTGCTAACAACAGCTCCACAAGTTCAAAATACCAACTTAACAAAAGAACTATGAACTAAACTTAGTACCAGAGACTGCAACTGAGTTGTTAGATCATCTGCACAATCTTTTTTTGGCTGAGACGCTGAACTCCTCACAGGTCAGACAACTACAATATCGTGATACCTACGGGATGAATGCAGCAAATTCAGAACTTGGCATTCCAAAGCAGAAGATAACAGAAATTCCCAAACGTGTCAACTACGGAATCACAGTCTCTGATCAATAATATCAAAAGTGAACAGCACCATAGTTAAATCTTATTATGTTTGCAGCAAGATCAGAACATCCTATCTGAGGCACAATTAATCAAAATGTTTCTACCAATGCTTGTTAAACTTTTGATGTCAATAATATCAAAAAGTAACAACATCTTTTATTTGGCAATATGACACCACAGTTAAAGCTTTCATGTATAAGAAAACTATATAATATTTGAAAGATATTTGACCTTCTTTGAAAAAGATTTACTTCCCTTAAAACCAATGCCGTCAGCTCCAATAGAGAAAGGCCAAAATATAATATCAATAATTTGAAAGAAAAACCAATCCCAAAGTCATCCAAAAAGAAACTACTTAAAACATAAAAGCTACTGGCAAATTATGATTTGCCTCAAGATTAGCCTTTTAAGGGAGGACAACATGGCTAATAAAGAAGGGTATAAACAAGAAAAAGTAACACCTGCTTAACAATATATATCCGAAAAAGATTAACCTTAATCAGTTCTTGATAGTCTAACACATTTCATAATTCTATTAAGCCGCAAATGGAGAAAATAGGAATAGAGCTTGTTATATCAAACATATTTGAACACAAGGAATCAAGAATACAATCCATAATAATACTCGATGTTGAAAAGCAGAACTGAAAATTATATACAAGAGCTCTGAAATTCTTTTATACCATTCGAATTTCAAATTTGCATTACACAGGTGATATTTTCTTTTCACTAGTAAACAACTAAAAGGAACAGTAGTGTTTCATATATGACAATCCTATGCACAAGTCTATGTTATAAAGTCTCAATG